TCTACATATTCAGTAATTCAATTGGTCCAAGATCATATGATAGCTATAATATAAATTTGAAGTATTCGTAAAGTGAGTCAAGTTTATAATGATAGATGTTTAAACTCACTGGCTTAATAATTTTTGCTCAAATTTTTTATTTATAATAATTGTAGCAATACGAACAAAATTACAGAAAAAAATTTTACATTAAAATGCAAGAAAAAATTATTAAACCATTTTGCGTTTTTAATTCATATGTAAATTTGTTCTTTACTTTTAGAAAATTTATTATTATATATTTATTGATTGATCTTACATAGTTTTGATTAATTATAATGTTGGACACCCTAATAATTTACAGACAGAATTTGGGGTCTGTCTGGTGATCCCTATTTCTGCGATTGTATAACCACGTGATAAAGATCGACAAAACCTGGCAAATTTTTTTCGTTAGCTCTAAAAGATACTTAAGATACTTTCCAACAAATAAATTATAATGTATCACCGTGATCGTAGTGCATCGCATTTTCTTGGCGGAGAGCGCATTTCCGGCAATGAAGTGCGTAATCAGAATGGTAGGTGTTTTATTTTGAACAGCTGTTTAAGATATTTTTAATCCAAAATCTTACAATATTGGCCCTTTTAGTGCTTGCCGTAATGTCGATCGCAAATATTGTGAAAAGCTCACTTGGACCAGTAGGATTAGATAAAATGCTTGTTGATGATATCGGGGTGGGTCTCACAAAGGCTTTGCAAACTTCGTAGATCACAAGGTCAAATTCTTTATGACCCGGTTTTCATTGATTATGATCGCTTAAAATGATGATCCAATTTCTTTTTTAAATCTTAAATTCAGGATGTTACAATATCAAATGATGGAGCTACAATTTTGAATTTGCTTGAAGTTGAACATCCTGCTGGACAAGTTCTTGTAGAGCTCGCTCAGCAACAAGATAAGGAGGTTGGTGATGGAACTACGTCAGTTGTTATAATTGCAGCCGAATTACTTCGTCGTGCGAATGAACTTGTAAAAAATAAAATTCATCCAACTACGATTATAACTGGTTATCGATTGGCGAGTAAAGAAGCATGTAAATATATTACTGATCATCTCAGCACGAAAGTTGATACATTGGGACGTGAATGTTTAGTCAATGTTGCAAAGACAAGCATATCTAGCAAGATCATTGGGATGTAAGCATTGATCATTGGTAGATATAATTTCTAGTTCGTGCAATGCGCCTATTTATTAATATTGAAAATTTTGTTCATGTCAAAAGCGATGATGATTTTTTTGCGAATATGGCAGTTGATGCTATTCAGTCAGTAAAATCTACAAATTCACGTGGTGAAGTCAAGTACCCCGTAAAAGCCGTGAATATCCTTAAGGCACATGGTAAAAGTGCACGAGAATCAATTCTCGTGAAAGGTTACGCGCTTAACTGTACAGTAGCGGCTCAAGGTACAGAAAACTCTTTTTATTTCGAATTTTTATGTTGTTACTAATCATTCTATCTCTTTTTAGCCATGAAAACAAAAATTATAAATGCAAAAATTGCATGCCTTGACATGAATCTTCAAAAGGCAAGAATGCATCTTGGAGTTCATATTACTGTTGATGATCCAGATAAATTGGAAGATATTCGTAAACGGTGAATTTTCGAAGATTTTGTGATTAAATCATTATAAATAGTAACATATGTTTTATTTTAGCGAAGCCACTATAACAACTGAACGAGTGCAAAAAATCCTCGCAACTGGCGCAAATGTTATCTTAACAACAAAGGGAATAGATGACCTTTGCTTGAAACTATTTGTGGACGCTGGCGCTATGGCAGTTCGTAGATGTAAACAAGAGGACCTTAGGAGAATTGCTAAAGCTACTGGAGGTAGGTAGAGCTTGAAACTATTATCTTCCACATACATATAACTAATGTAATAAAATTATCTTTTTTTATCAGCTACACTTATTTCCACGCTTGCGAATCTTGAAGGAGAAGAAACATTCGATACATCCTATCTTGGTTCAGCAGATGAAGTCGTACAGGAGAGGATTTCCGATGATGAATGTATCCTTATAAAGGGTACTAAAGCTCAAAGTTCAGCTTCAATCATATTACGTGGGGCTAATGACTATATGTTGGATGAAATGGAAAGATCTTTGCATGACTCATTATCGGCTGTCAAAAGGACTTTAGAAAGTGGTAGTGTAGTGCCAGGTGGCGGTGCAGTAGAGTCTGCGTTAAGCATCTATTTAGAAAACTTTGCGACAACATTGGTAATTTATTTTTGTTCATAATGCAGTATGGATGTATGTATTTAATCTTTATATTTTTTAGGGGTCACGCGAGCAACTGGCTATTGCGGAGTTTGCCAGTGCACTCCTTTCTATTCCAAAAACTTTAGCTGTTAATGCAGCAAAGGATTCAATCGACTTAGTTGCAAAATTGAGAGCATATCATAACGCATCTCAAAATGCACCGCCAGATGATCCAAAGAAAAACCTTAAATATTATGGTCTTGAGCTCTTTAAAGGAGAAGTTAGAGATAATTTACGAGCTGGAGTTTTAGAACCTTCCATGTCCAAAATTAAGTCGCTTAAGTCCGCAACCGAAGCAGCCATTTCGATTCTCAGAATTGATGATATGATCAAGGTTTTTTACCTTCTTATTTCATTAATTTATTTGTTATATCATCTCAGGTTCTAAGCTGTGAACTCTAAAACTCATTTTATTTTTAGGTTGAACCAGAACAACGTGGAGGAGAAGAATAGAGATGATGATCAATTAGGTCATTTGATTTGTCTGATCGTGACCGATCATATTAAGTATGGTCAGTCGCTACACGTTATTCGTGCGACTCACAAATTTAAATGCAAATAACTTTTATGCTTAGACTAATCAACGCTAATAAAATGAATATTCGTTAAATAGGTTTAAGAATTTCTACAAAATCCAAATAATTATGGGGTTTCAAAATTAAATCAGAAAGTTTTATTTCCAATTTTTAATTCAACATAGTAAAAATGCAATTTGAACAATCCTATTTATTGCAAAATACACCATTTTTGTTAAATTGAAACTCTCATAATATTTGTTTATTATTTCTATACTAATTCCGTAGTATTGATTAGGGATGCTATCCTGCTTAAACTGGTTAGTTTGTGCTTCGAACCCCGCTCGAACACTGTTCCGAAACACACGCATAAATTGGGTTTCAGACTCTGCTTTAAAACTGGATATATATGACTATTAATTATGCTTGCCTGAACATGTTAGTTCAAAGCCCGTTATTTGTTGGGATACTGTATATGCATTAAAAATTACTGATCGCGAAGCTTTTTGCACATAAGATCGATTTTGAATTCGACTCGGGAGTTTCATTTTACTTGATTAGATTCACGTGATTAAAAAACTCGTGTTTAACTGATTAGCAGGATAACATCTCTAGTTAAAAAAAGTTATTTTTTGATGTTTTTAGAGTTACTTTTTTGATACAGTTAAGGTTAGTAAGTTATTTATATATCAAGAATACAATTTATGCAGTATGTAGATCATATGGGCAAATTTTTGGATTTAGCAATAACTTTTAATCTATTGGTTTATTTTAAATGGTTTTATTACCAAAATGAGCTCCTCAATGAGGTGATTTTAACAAGTCAAAATCTAATTACAGGTTCTTAAGATCACTATAGAACAAATAAAATTTTAACAAATAAAATTAATTATTCAATCAATAAAATTGCTTAAAACCAATATTTGTGTAATTTATTTCATTAGTTTTTAATAAAAAACCAATAAAATGGATTACATAAATATTGGTTTTAAGCAATTTTATTGGTTGAATAATTAATTTTATTAGTTAAAATTTTATTTGTTTTATAGTGATTTTAAGAATCTGTAATTAGATTTAATGATTTTGGGTTTGTTAGAATTATCTTATATAAGTTATTATCAATCTTTTACAAAATCATATCAACCAAGTTATTACTAATTATGAACTAACATCTTTATATAATATATAAGATGGAATTGACCAAGAAGAGACAATAAAATCTCTTTTTTAGTATATTTACTATAATTCTTTTATTACTTATATTAACAAAACACATACTGGATATATATTCACAGTTGAATAGATTACTCAACTTAATTCTACTAAATATCAAAATATATTATTTTTTATATCAGTACTAGTATATATGAATGATATCTTGTGGTTTGTCAAATTATCTAAACAATTACAACAAATTATACAAACAGCATCTTCATTTTACAAAATAGCAAACATCAAAATAAATTCACAAAAATTAATATTAATATCTAATATTAATCAAAACCTAAATATTAGTTTTATGAATTATTATATCTAAATACAACCTTAATATATTCTTTTAAATTTCTGAGATGCTAGTTTATAGTCATACTCCAGTATATTATATAAATTAAATTTATTAAACAAAAAACATTTGGTTTCAATAATATACTTAAGACCAAAAATATAATTGACAAACAAGCTGTCTACATTATTAATTATGTTATTATTCCTACTTTAGAGTATCATATACACAACATTATAATTTTTAGAACTATATGTAACTTAATCTTTATATATTACTTAATTATTATTTTTTTTTTTTTTCACTTAGGCAAAGTTGCGCCAGTGAGTTTTGTTTATTAAAGCCCTTCTTGTGAAAGCTGTTAGCAATAAAACTATAACCCTGACATTCTACGGTTACCTCGAATAACCTAACCGATTACCTACACGCACCTACAGGTGACCTGCCGCACCGCAGAGGTACGATCAAT